CAAATGGGCACTTTTGTCCAGGTCCCATTGTCACAAAAAGATCTGTTCTGGCCTTCCATGGCATAATATGTTTGGCATCTGAATTCTACTGAAGAGCCAGATCTGTACAGTTTCTCAGATAAACTAATAATGTCTCCGTTCTCAATTCTTGGTGGACCACTGCAATTTTTCCCTCCTAACAAATATGAAAGCATGGATGAAAAAGTAAATAAACTAAGAATTTCTTCTCTAAGAATTAACAGGTTAAATTGATCTAAATCATCTAAATGTATTATATATTATAAATGTATACACACATACACCTATCTGTGTGTGTGTGTGTGTGTGTGTGTGTGCGTGTGTGTGTGTGAATAAGTTCAAATTACACATAAACATATTCTGTCATTATTATGGAATCTATGACAAAAATTTTACAGTATCATTTTTTCTTTGCAGAAAAGAATAATCTTTTCAAAAATTGACGTTATACATTTTTGAATCCACTTCTTGATATTTAAAGTAATAGCAGTTTTCCAAACTTTTTTGGCTATGCATGATATAACCCAAAGTTCCTAAGAAAGTGTTAAATGCCTTCATTTTAGAAAGTAATTCAAAATATCAAAAGCTTTCACATCTTTAACATAAAAACATTTGCATATATTTATATTTATTACAAGATTCTTCCAAAAGAAAACTAAAATTGGCCATGATCAAATTAAATTAGTTGATGTGCCCTTACATTCCTTACACCAACAACAAAGAAAATCTATTTCAGCCACAGTCAGAAATCCTTCTGAAATAGTATTTCAAGAGTACTATTAAACTCAGAAGAAAATTGTTTCATAAATTCATTTCAAATTCAAGTTACGCTTAACACAAATGCTTAACATGTTTTAAAGTCTTACATAAATTGATACTCCATTATCAAATATTCCACGTCTTCACCCCATAAGTCAGAAATATCAGCATTTTCAACTTTAAAGATATTTTAAAATTTCCGATATAGTTTCAAATTCAATTTGATTAAATTGATTATATTGACACTCTTAAATTTGGGGGCAGGAAATTCTAGCTGAAGCTTTTGACATTCCTTAAAATAATAATTATAAAGAAATTGGTTTAACATTATTACAGATTCTGTTCATTTTTTCCAATAAATCAGGTACAACCTATTAGAACAATCTCCCTCTCTCTCTCTCTCTCTCTCTGCCTCTCTCCTTCTCTCTCTCCCTCTCTCTCTCTCTCTCTCTCTCTCTCCCTCTCCCTCTCTCTCTGTGTTGCTCTATGTTGACGCAGATAATTGCCAAGATCGCTACAGAAATATATGAAAAAATGGTATGTGAGAATGACCTTGGGAGAAAGGGAGAAGATATGCAGCCAAGGGAACTGTCAGATAAAAAGGTAACTCAGTCCATGCCAGGAATAGACAGGGCAAGTGGTTCAGAAGAGACCCTCCCAGTTTCATGGGCTATAAAGGGCACAGGGAGAAGGAATGTACTTTTGGATTGCAAGGTTCTGTTAAAGTAATCCTACCTTAACAGTGGAATTAGCTCATCTGATCGTACATCCTCTACAATTTACTTTGCAAGGCTGACACATAATCACTTTCTAATACAGACCATAAAGCAGGGGTGGGATTCTACCGGTTCTATCCAGTTCTATAGAATCCCTTGTTAACTTTCTAAGCAGTTTGGCGGTAGTTAGAAGCAATCTCCGATTGTTTTTTTCCACCCTGATTACATTCTTGGCAGACAGCCTAGACTTACTGTCTCCAGAGCTTTTGGGGCTTGGCTTTCTTAAAGGGGAAGGGTTGTTTTAAGATTTTTACACTGCTGTTGGGAGGAAATACTTCCCTGGACAATCAGCACTTTGAAGAAATAATTAAATAATGAAGCAAAGCTTTTAGTGACAGGGAGCTAAGATGAGTGACATTCAGCAAGGCTTCTTGGCTAGTTAGAAAGATTAACATTCAAACGTGAATTTACATATCCTTTCTGAGTTTTGGTCTAAAACTGGTTTTCGGTAAAAGTTAATTCTGTGCTTGGGGATGTTTAAACCTGTGTTTATTGATGGGATAATTTTCCCTATTTAGCTTCAACAAGCAACAGCTACTGTTATGATTTAATTATTTGTATTGTGTTTGAATTTTTTCTTGCCTCATGGTTTCTTTTTCTATCTGGGGAGGGGGTCTTCCTCACTGCTTTAGTACTATCTGGTACTGTCCTTTTGGGGTATACTTCCAAGAGGCAGGATGCAAGCTTGGCACTGATTTTTTTTATTGCCTTTCTGGAGGGCATGTGACATTTCCTTAAATCTGGATGATTTCCTTAGGATATCTTGTGAGGTCAGTGAGACCAGTAGTATTTTTAAGTGGTGCAAATGGATCTAAGGATTGCTTTTCTTGGGTGTACTTTTTCTGGAGAGCTTAAATGACCTCTCTGCTAAAGGTTTCACTTTATGAGCAAAAGTTGGTTGCTTGATAGTTATCACTGAATTTTAACTATTTTCATTCCTCAAGGTGCTTTGGCACCCTGCCTGATTTGTAACTCCGGCTTGGAAGTATTTTTAATCTAATGATTGGTATTTAGGGAAGCTTTTTGCAAGTAAAGAAGCTTTTTGTATTTTTGTACAGGTAATCCTTGACTTACAACAGTTCATTTAGTGACCATTCAAAGTTATAATGGCACTGAAAAAAGTGACATGACCATTTTTCACACTTATGACTGTTGCAGCATCCCCACTGTCATGAGAGGCCAGGTGAGGTGAAGTGCCCTTGACATGAGTGATGTCAAGTTGATCACGCCCATCCAGTCACATGATCACCAAGCCACACCCACCAACTAAGCCATGCCCACAGAACCGGTTGTTTAAAAAACTGAATCCCACCCCTGCCCTAAAGGTCTTTCAGTTAAATTATTACACATAGATAGATATGATTAAATAACTGAATAGTAATATCAGTGTTATATTATTGCTCTTTCTACTGAATCTGTAACTGTATCTGTTCTATTGTATATTCTATTGTATCTGTAATTCTCAGACCATTGTATGTAGATATTTTGAACTTTATATGTTACTGTCTCACTTATATTAAACAACATGCAAAGAATTTACCTGTTAATTTACCAAGCATCCAATATTTTAATTTTAAACTCTTCAATTTGATCAGCATAAAAATCATCCATCAGCTCTGTGAGAGTAGCAAAGTATACTTTCTATTTATACATTGATTTAATCATCAAATACCTTCCAAGTTAAATTCTCTTTTAATAATATGAGATTAACATATTTTTATGAAACCTTTGCAATTTGTGATACAAATTCCTATTAAGCATATTACCAATATTATGCATATTTTCAACTACAAGGAAACAGAATTCTTAACTGAAGTTCAAGATTTGGGATTGAACTTAGAGACAATTTGTACGTTTGGGGAAATGCCAGGACATCCTTCTCCAATCTGACGTGCTTCAGATTTTTTTGTTTTGTTTTAGATTACACTAATAAAATTCTAAGCCAAGAGGTGAGAGAGTTCAGTGAATATTAAATCCCTTTTAAAAGATTGAGATTTTAGAAGCAAATGTTAATATTCATTATGCTATATTACTTATTTTAATTAATTCTAATCTTGGAAGGAATCCATGATACTGACAGCATGCTTACCAGAGATACATAATGGGAAATCCATGTAACCATCAAAACACTTTCTGACAGATGGAGCCACGAGGACATATCCTTCATTACACTGAAATTGCACATTATGATTACTCTGAATAAGCCGAGCTTTTCTTTGACTCCCAAACACAAACAATTTTTTTGTTGCTAGCTGTTGTCTTGTGATACTGCAGGGTGCTAAAAAACACAGAAAATAATTCAGATCTTCTCAATAGAGATAATTGTCCATTAGTTTCCCTCTATTCCACCCTCAAGAAAATCAGTCTTATCTGCAAATCACAATGGATAGTTCCAGGTCAAAATGAAATAAGCCAAATTAAAGCACAATATTAATGATAATAAAATTATCTGTTATATATCTGCTATATTCTGTTATAGACTTAGCACAGAGAATTGGCTTGTAGAAGCATGCACAAGCAGATGTTGTTTTGTTTGTTTCAAGTTAAGAATAAACAGCTTAACCCAAAATCTTCTGCAAAGATATTTTGAGCGAACTGAGTTATAGTGGAACAAATTTTGAAGACAGTTTGAATGTTCCATATTATGTCAAAATATGACGCAACATTTCTAAGCATTGAACATTGACCCCTGACTCTCTTGATTTTTTAGTTCTGCTTTTTTTGCTCATATTAATGAGCTTATTGTTATTAATAGTGGGGCAATTCAGTATCCTATCAGTCAATGTCCTTCCACCCAAGGGTTACTTCCAGCATTACAGGTTTGACAGACAATACTTTTAAAGCATTCTTTTAGCTATCCAGTAAATATTATAATGCCCCTTGTTGAATTGTGATGTTGTTGTTCAGTTGCTAAGTCATGTCTGACTCTTCACAATCCCATGGACCATTGCAAGCTATGATCCTTATCCTCCATTGTCTCCTGGAGTTTGCCCAAATTCATGTTTATTGCATCAATGACAATATCTATCCATATCATCCTCTGCTGTCCCCTTGTCCTTTTGCCTTCAATCTTTCTCAACATGAGGGTCTTTCCCCTGCTTCATTTTCTACTCCACAGCCAAATTTGTTATTGCTGTTATTTTGGTTACCTCAATTTCATATTTCTTGCATTCCAATCCCCTATGATCAGGGGTGGGATTCGACCAGTGTAACAACTGATTCAGTGAGCACGCGCTTCACTGATTCCCAAAATGTTGTTGTCGATCTTCCCATTTCATCTTCAATGAGATCCAGGTTACTTTGATTCATAGATTTCACATTCCAGATTCCTATGGAATATTGTTCTTACAGCACTGGACTTTCCTTTCATCACCAGACACATCCACAGCTGAGTGTCATTTCAGCTTTGGCCCAGCTGCTCCATTCTTTCTTGTGCTATTTGTAATTGCCCTCCTCTCTTCCCCAGGCACGTACTGAACACATTCCAACCTAAAGAGCTCATCTTCCAGCATCATATTGTTTAGCTTTTTGGTACTATTCGTGAAGCCACAGTTTGTGGCTTCAGAGGAAAGCCTGGCTTCAGAGGGAAAACCTGAATGCAAATTCAAACCAATTCTCAAAGAATTTGGCAGCTGCAATTCTTCTCCTATTGGATGAATTCAGCATTTTCTCCCAGGTCTACACTAGTAAAAAAAAAAAAAAAAAGCATGATGGCTTACCCAAGCATTTTGGTGGATGAGGTGTCCATTTTTGACCCTTACACTGAATCCATTCAGATCCTTCCAAGACATAAGCTGGGTTGCAACTGTATTGCACTCGGTCATTTTCCAGATATTTGGCTTTCTCAATGCTTACAATTTCCCCAAAGTCAATGTCCTCTGGTTCTTCACATGCTGGAATTATGTTTACATTAAATTATCTTATTTGCTTAGACAGGTTAACTTTTTCTATTTACTCTCATGAACTTCTCATGAACTGGATATAACAAACTTTCTGCTCTAACCCAAATTAGATAATTATTTCCCACTTTTGTCTTAACTAGGAAACCAATGCTTGATTGACACTTAATCCTAACTATAGGTAATCCTCAATTTAGCAATCATTTGAATTCCAAGGAATTACTTGTGGAATGTTTATAACCCAGATTCAAAATGTCGACACTCAACCCCCTGCCTCAGTCATGAGTGCACTTTGGTGCTGGGCAACTGGGTTGCATTTACAGCCAATTGCAGCATCCTATGTACACATGACCCTGTTTTATGACAGTTTTGCTGAAAACCTAAGTAAGTAAAAAGCATTTACTTCTGGTTTACTGCAAAACCACACTGGTACGCTTAATAAATACATATTCACTTAATGACTGTGATAATTCATTTAATGGCCACCACAAAAATGTTTATAAAATCTAGTCACTCTCATGACTGATTCACTTTATGATCATAACATGTTGCAACTGTGATGGAAATTCTCCATTAAGTTATAACTCAAAGACTTCCTGTAACATGCAACCTTCCCTTGCTGATGCCTAACCTAAGTATTTCTGTGGATGGTAGATAGAGAGAGGTTGGAGGGCTATTAAACTTGCCCCTCCCAAAGCAACTTCTTTGTAAGTGATTCTGTAGAATTTCCTCCTTGCTGGTACTTATCATGGCTTACCATGGGTGGTAACAATAAATCACCCTGTGATTTTTGTAATAATCATCTTTCCTTGTTCATCTTTCCTTGTATAATTCCTCGGCAATATATGACTCAAAAATGTTAAAGTTGGCAACAGTTCTTTTCCAAGAGAAATAAATCCATTTCTGACTAGTACTGCCTTCCTATTAATTTCTCAATATCTATTATCTATAGTTTCTTTCTTTTTATCAGGTTTAAATAGTGCCAGTTGAGAATTTATTATGTAGGCTATAATTCTCTCACCTTGTTATTCCCTTTTCTTTTCTTTTTTTAGAGATAGAGCATGATAGAAAGAATTGTGAGATATTCATACATACACACACTACACACACACACACACACACACAGAGAGAGAGAGAGAGAGAGAGAGAGAGATTATGCAGTGTAGAGAGCACAAATATTCATTCTAAACAGCAATGGTGGGCAGAAGCAGGGAAGAAAATAATTGTAGAATATCTCTAAATCTTCAGCTATCAAATTTGAAAGTAAGAGCTTGATATGGGGTGGCAATCATTACTTATTGTACCAATGGTTTATCAGTTAATTTTACAATTATTGGGAAAGGAACACCTTCTGTGGTCTCTGTTGACAGGGCCAATGCTTTTCTTACTTTCCCCTCCATGAATGACTTTTGAAAACTAGTTTATTTAACATAAATCAATTGACTGAAAAAGGGAAATAAGAAAGACCCGGCAACTGTCAGGCAACCATCAAAAACAGTGATAAATAAATTATTGGCTCAAAGGTTCAATCAGTGTGAATATAAGCAAGTGTAATCTTAGCTTCAGTGTCTTGAGATGTGAATATTTCCCTCTTTTTCTTCTCCTAAAGGATATTATCACTGTGAATTAAGTTATACACTAATTGCTTTTGTATTTATCCTGATATAAACATAACTGAAATACATCTCTAAAATTTCAAACTTCTGACTTATGAAGACTCATCCCCTCGGAACAGGTTTCAGAAAACATAGATACGATTCCTAGATGATCAATGTTCTTATCTAGGTATTATGTGCTTTAGTGACAGCCCAAAGCATAATAGAGGCTCTCATAAAATCACCTCATCTAGAAGGAAAAAGAGAGAAAAATTTGGGGAAAGAATAGATTCTACAGTACTGATAGCATGCACTTGGTTAAATTATGGTAGAAATATATTCAATAAATATATTCCATTTTTATATCTCTTCATTTCAACTTTTGAGGATCTTTTTTGTTTATAAGCAAAATAAACCATTAAACATAAATGCTTCAATGAAATTAAAGCTTTTGCTTCAGTTTTAAAGTATCATTATTAGACATGGTAATCATTTGGTTATCATCATATCCAATTCTTTATTAACTGAAGCAAACTTCCTTCCCAAACGGGTGTAAATTTACAATAATGATGCAAAGAATTTTGCTATATACAAATCAGTTGATCAAAAATCTTGCATTTGAGAAGGCAATTGGAATGATACTGTAAGTCTATGATATTTTTAAAGAATCTGCCATTACAAATTTCCAGAAGGCCACATATGGAAAATGGAACTCTTTGCTTTTGCTAAAAGAAATTGTTCCTTTAATGAACACAGCAGAAGCTGTTTTCCTTAGTAACCCTTTGATTTCTTTTCTTCTTAACTTACCATTTTGAGAAGAGCTGCCTGGCCAGAGAAGAACAGCAGCAACCAGGGGTAGCCAGCTCTTCATAGCTCTTCAGGCAATGTCTGAACCACTAAACCTCAGTTCAGCAGTTGGGCAATCTCAGTGGATTTCTCCCAGCTACTACCATCCCTTCCTCATTACGGGAATAAGAATATGATCTTGCCAGCTAAGAGAGGATTATAAATAAACTTTGTGTTGCAATGATGACAATAAGCAAATAAAGCAATACTTCAGCTTTTCAGGCAGTGTTTCCAATTCTTACAAACGAAAAAAAAAACACCACCACTTGCATTCAAGAATCTTCCCAATGTCTTCAGCAGCAGCAGCTAACAGCAAAACTATTATACATGACATTTATGAATCTGACATATCTATTTTGCATTTATGATGTATAGGAACCACACATTGCAGATATCCAATATCTTCCTTAAAAAACTCTGTAGTTTTATTATCTTCAGTCAAAAACAGTTAATCATTAGCAATCACATGGGAGACAGTACACTTTGATACCTGTTTGCTCTCCCCACCCCAGATTCTGGAGAACTAGGGTTGGATTTAACTTTTACAAATATCTAGGAGGTCAAAATAATATCAACTCCCAGGGGATATAAGAACAGAGGGGAAAAAAGGATATTGCCTCCTTATCCAAAGGATACAAGAACTACCTTTCTCTTCTTACCTCATTTTTATAGCTGTGTATAAGAAATATTCTTTACTGTTATCTACTCTTTCTGAAGATAGCAATGTGTATATTATCTATTAAATACAGTTTGAATTGAGTCAAAATTGAACTGAGTCATCTTGTCTTTAGTGAAAACAGTGTTTCTCCCTCCCAGCAGTTGGAGAGACAGAGAAACTGGCCTTGGAGGACAAGAAGAGCCATTACCAAGGTAGCAGTCAGATAAGAGGAGCCTGAGTTCAGGCCCAGAAAATAACTTGAGAAAAGTGTCTATGGAGATTCTCAATCATCCAGGTTGTTCTGTAGATGTTTTCCCAAAGGGCAATTGGACTTTCTTGGGTTTTTTTCCCCTTGAAAATATTTTGCTTCTCAGCCAAGAAACATTTTCAGTTCTAACTGAATAGTGGGGAATGGAAAGATTTATATTTTTTGCAGTCACCTATTCCCTAGGTTCTCTCCCTAGCACCTTGTAGTGCGTATCTCTACTTTCTACAGCTTTTATATCTATAGTATGTTGAATCTGCATGTTCATGGCTCAGTATGGGGAAGACGTTATTAGCTGTAGATCAGCTTGTAGACTGTTGATTGAAGAGATTCTGTGATAAGTCTGGTAGTTGTTTGTGAGGAGGACTAAGCCATAGCTTTGGTAAACATTGCAAAATTTACTAGGAACTGGTAAAAAGGGCTGTTTAAATGATATTTAAGTATGTGTATGTACATACATATATTTGCCTACATATGTACATACATATATGTGCTTATTTTTATGTGTGTGTGTGTATGCATGTATATGTATATATGCATACCCGTACACACACATACACATACACACTTATGACCACAATTGAGTCCAAAATTTCTATTGGAAAGTGAAACATTAAGTGAGTTTTGCCCATTTTACAACCTTCCTTGGTACTGCTATTAAGTGAATCACTGCAGTTACATAAGTAGCATGGTTGTTAAATGAATCTGGCTTCCCCATTGACTTTGCTCTGAGTCAGTTTCCAAGCATCTTAATTTTAATCACATTACCAAGGGGCTACTGCAATGGTCATAAATGTCCATTCTTCTTTCAGTGACATTGTAATTTTGAACGACCACTAAATAAACCTTTGTAAATTGAGGACTGTGTGTGTGTGTGTGTGTGTGTGTGTGTGTGTGTGTGTGTGTGTCTATATTGAGGACTATGTGTGTGTGTGTCTACGTGTGTGTTTGGTCTGTAGATAGATAGATAGATAGATAGATAGATAGATAGATAGATAGATAG